GATTCCCAGTCAGGGCACATGCCCAGGTTGTGGATTCGATCAGTGGCTCTCTCATCATTGATATTTCTCTCTCTCTCTCTCTCTCTCTTCCTCTCCTTTCCCCTCTCTGAAATCAATAAAGATATAGTAAAAAAAAAAAAAAAGATTACTTAGTCATGGAATTACTATGGTTCATAGTGGCCCTTGTTTTTATTGGTTATTATGAGACTGTGTATAAATCTTTGAAGAGCTGTGTCTTTCACACAAGCTGAGGATGGCTGTTTATGCCCTAAATGGATTTCTCTATCTAATGAAGTGGGTCCTGTATGTAACAGGATTGGGGGGAGGGATATGATGTATCCATACAATGGGAGGCAGTGTTTAATGGGTATAGAGTCATAGGGATGCACAGTGATGGTGGCAGCACAGCACTGTCAATGTGTTGACCACCACTGAGGTGTGCGTCGACCACCACTGAGGTGTGCGTCTAAAACTGGTGAGGATCCTAATTCTGTGCATTTTGAGACAATTTCAAAAAGAAAAAAAAGAATAATTTAAGCCCTGGCCAGTGTGGCTCAGTGGTTAGGGTGTTGTCCTGTGTTCTGAAGGGTCTTGGGTTCGATTCCCAGACAGGGCACATACCCAGGTTGTGGGTTCAATCCCCAATTAGGGCATGTGCGTGAGGCAAACCATTGATGTTTCTCACATCGATGTTTCTCTCTCTCCCTCTCCCTTCCTGTCTCTAGAATCAATGATAAACATATCCTTGGTGAGGATTATTTTTTAAAAAAAGAATACCTTTAATAGGTATATGACTAAGTGTGTGATAGATGCACCAAAATTTACTTGACTTGAGTTCATAAGTGGACAGATGTTGCAGGCACGCGTGCATTGAAGTGGATCGGAAGGAGGAGGTGGTGTGGGGATGAAATCCTGCATTGAGTTGATCATCCTAATTGGCCTTACAGTCGTGCACTAAAGAAGACAGTCAAACTGAGTCACCAAGTTCCCACCGTGGTCCACTTTGATAGAAAGAACCAGAGGCAGGCATGTGTTAGAACCCACGGGAGGTGTGTTTGCAGCCTGGTCACAGTGTTCACAGGACATTGATTGGCGGGTCCATGCATGGTGGTTTTATTCAGAGGGCATTGCACAGTGCAAGTCTGTACTTTTAAAACCAGGAAAATACAGAATAAAAATTTAGGTTTGCTTTAAATTTTTATTAAAATTCCTAATAAAGTTGTTTTTCACTATAGTATATTTTTTCTTTTGTAAGTTATTCAGAAAATGATACAAGAATGCTAAAAATGGTATCCATTGGGCCTAGATAATGAAAGGTTGTCTGTTTTTCCTGATTTACTGAGGGTCAATCAGAACAAAACAGGCTTTTCCTTGTGAAGACACTGCGTTCTTGCTCTTCCAAAGGGCACTTGTTTTGAGAGGACTGAAAACGTCATGCCTGCCTGTTTCCTTTTATATAGCGGTTTTAGGGTTAGAAGTGGTGGTGTTTCAGAGCTTAGGGTTGAACTGTGCTCTGTGAAGGGCTAGGGCTCTGGACAGACAACTCAGACCCTGCCTCTGGCACCGAGGTGCCACGTGTCCTGAGCAGGTTACCCCATTTAATTCTCAGTATCTTTCTCTGAAATAGTTATTACTTCCCAGTGCATTGTAAGTATTAAGTAATGACTTATGTAAAATGCTCATCATTGTTACACAGTTAATAAATGTCAACAACTTATTAAAATTTTAATTTAAAAATTTTGTTAAAACAAATTTAATGAAATTAAATTAGTTCTAGTGAAAGAATCAGGTTTCTAGATAATCATCTAACACCTCATCCTGTAAAAGTTAAATAAATCACATTTTCTTTTTAATTTTTTGCAGAAATATTGTGTCCACAGTGAACCTTGGTTGTAAACTTGACCTAAAGACCATTGCACTTCGTGCCCGAAATGCTGAATATAACCCCAAGGTCAGAGCAATTTTAATGTATTTCAAACTGTAATACAGGAATTTACTTTTAAAGATCCCTAGATCAAAGAGTTTGTGCCACAGTAATGCATTAATGCTGTTTCTAAAAGCCGACTGGAAATGGGAGGTCATTTCAGGACCTGCTGATGTGCTTGTCGTCTGATTTATTAATTCCTTCCGGAGGTGAAGGTATTTCAAACAGAAAGTTTATAGTTACAGAAGCTAGTCATGGGAAGCAGCACATATAAGATAGACACGTAGGCCCTGGCGTTAATCAAGGATGTAATTAGTTAAGAGAAAGAAAATGGGGCCCTGCCTGGTGTGGCTCTGTTGGCTGGGCATCATCCTGTCCACTGAAAGGTCGCCAGTTTGATTCCTGGTCAGGTCATATGCTTGGGTCACAGGTTTGGTCCTATGGGAGGCAGCTGATCCATGTTTCTCCCTCTCGTGCTCTCCCTCCCCCCCCCGTAAAATCAGTAAAAACATATATATGTGTACTTTTTAAATTGCAAATACTGCCTATCTTGTAGGAATATAGGAAAGAATACATAGATCGTTGTCCAACTTAGTCGTCACAGTTCTGCTTCCTGTGTGAAAGCTTGCATGCTGCCTGGTACAGGCCCTGTGTGGGGCCGAGGCATGGGTGCTGAGGTGGCTGCACCAGTTCTTCTTAGCTGTCGCTGCCCAGTTTCCTCCCTAACAACTGTCTCCACCATTTCAGCGGTTTGCTGCTGTGATCATGAGAATACGGGAGCCCCGGACCACAGCCCTGATCTTCAGTTCTGGGAAGATGGTGTGCACGGGAGCCAAAAGGTGGGTGTGAAGAGGCCATTCTCCTGTTTCTTGTGTGTTCTAGGTGGTAGGCTAACACTTTATTAAAATGCTGTTCCTTTCCTACTAAAATGGTTGGTTCTAATCACTTTATTCAGCAGTAATTTCACTTTCTTAAAATTAGGCTTGGCTTTGGCTGGTATGGCTCAGTTGGTTGGAGTGTCATCCTGTACACCTAAAGGTGGTGGGTTCGATTCTTGGTCAGAGCACACCCCTGGGTTGTGGGTTCGATCCTCAGTTGGGATGTGTACGGGAGGCAACCAGTCAATGTTCCTCTCTCTTCCTCTCTTCTCCTCTCTCTAAAAATAAATTTTAAAAAAGATCCATGAAAAAAAATTAAGCATGACTTTCAGACATACGTAACCATTGCTTATTTCCATACAATTCAGTTGTATTTTATGTGTATTTGATAAAATGTCATGTCAAAACTACTTAGTGAATCTCTTTATCTAAAAAATTTTATACATAACAAATTCATCCCCAAGGGAAAAAAAATCTGACTAGGAATCACGAGAGCTGTGGACTTCCTTGGCTCTGGAGTGTGATGTCACTGGTGCTGCTGCCCTCATGGTGAATGGTGTTCATTCTGAGGGTTTGAGTCGTGTACCTTTGCATGAAATGCTGCTGCCCTCTGTGCAGATCCCTCTGTGAAGTGCAGTGAGTGTTTTGGGGCCTTGGCTAGTCTGAGCCTGTCTAACAGCCCACAGACTTGGTAAGAAGCATGAGGGGGTTTGGGGATTAGAAACATCAAGTAAATTAAACTCTTAAAAAAGACGATTAAAATGCACTTGAAGGTGCTAACATAGAGAGGGGGCTATGGAGGTTTTGCTTATTCTGAACTTGGGAATTGTCTTTTAATGAAGGGAAGGCAATGGGTGTGACATTCTGGCTCTAGTCTCAGTGTTTTCAGAAGGCAGGTTCACCTCTGGCTCCCTGTCACTGTTCATGTGGGTATGTCTGTGTGCTTGTTCTCGGGACGAAGCAGCAGAACCTGGGATTCACCAGTGAATGCTCCGTGTGCCCCCTTCTCTAGGCGTTTCGTGCAGACTTGCACCCTTTGTCCACAGGTTCTTCACACGGATTAGTGTGGATCTATTTGGGTGATGATTTTATCGAGATAAGAAATCATAAATAAATTTATTATCCTCAAAAAAAACTGCTGTGCCTATGGTGAGTTTTTTCATTCCTCACCCTGTGCCTGAGAGTTGTTTTCGATGGTGTTCACACACTTTTTTTTTTTTTTAATATATCTTTATGATTTCAGAGAGAGGACGGGAGAGGGAGAGAGAGATAGAAACATCAATGATGAGAGAGTCATTGATTGGCTGCCTTCTGCACACCCCTCACTGGGGATTGAGCCCGCAACCCAGGCAGGTGCCCTGACTGGGAATCAAACCAGTGACCTCCTGGTTTGTAGGTCGATGGTCAACTGCTGAGCCATGCCGTCTGGGCAGTTCACACACTTTTTAAGATTGCTCACCTAAATAACTGTCGGCTTTGAGTATGAAGAGCTCACTTTTCCTTTCCCTAGTGAAGAGCAGTCCCGACTAGCAGCAAGAAAGTATGCCAGAGTCGTGCAGAAGTTGGGTTTCCCAGCCAAGTTTTTGGACTTCAAGATTCAGAACATGGTAGGGAGCTGCGATGTGAAGTTCCCCATAAGGTTAGAAGGCCTCGTGCTAACCCACCAACAGTTCAGTAGGTGAGTCTGAAGGGTATTGGGATTGCTTTTGGTAAAAGTCTGTTTAAATGTTCATGATAAAGCGCCTGCAGAAGGATCAGCTTCTGGGAACAAACTCTGTAGCTCCTGCTGTGTTTACTGTGGAGGTTTCTCCTGACGGCTGTGGTGACACCTCTGGCCCCCACTGCACGTGTGACATGAAAACCCCCATTACCAGGTGGAATTGATTCCCCGTCTGATGTTCCACTGTTATATTGTTCAGTGATACATTTCAGATGCGTGAATTAAACCTACAACCTGTGCATCAACTGCCCCCCTGTTGTTTGACTCTTTGGTCTCCTCAGCATCAGAACCACCAGCCAAGGGCACGGTTGAGCGACATGAATATCCTTTCTGTTTATTCTCCCTAATGCTTCCTGCTGAGACCCACCTGGCAGATGGTCCCTCCACAGCCTCCCTGCTTGCAGCACCCCTAAGACTTGCTGTGCCCTTTGGGGCACCAGGGCCTTTGCACATCCCTCTTTTATACCCGGCACAGTCCTGTTTCACTTTTGCCTAGAAAACTCCCACTCACATTTCAGAGATGGGAGCATCTCTTCCTCAGAGAAACCTTGAATTTTCCACTGGTGACACACACATCCTAACTGTTTTCAGTCTCTGCACTAATGAAAGGAGATTACTAGGGCAAGAATAAAACGCCCTAGTAGAGCGTTTTATACGAGTAGAGCAGTCAACGGAATTGGGAAAATCCATTCTCCACTCAGTATTTGTTCTGTCATTTGGTTAAATTGCCTGACCAGTGTTAACAGCTAGGTAATAATCCAGTGTAAGGAGATGAGATGGGAATGATTAAAAGGCAAAATGTTACTGTCACATCTGAAGAGCAAATGCTATCCCTGAACTTGTCCAGAATGACACTGGGTAAGGGTCAGAGAGACATCAGAACATTAATGTAAAGCCCTCTTTATGTCAGAAAGTCCAGATTCCTTAGAAATAGCTATTTGGTCCTCGAGTGCTGGTCACTGGTTGGCCTCACTGGCTTTCTGCCACCTCTGCTTTGATGTGACCTGAGCTGGGCTTTGCCTCTTTGCAGCCATTCTTTTGTGTTTTTGCTCATACAGGTCTCATTTTATCTAAAAGCATGGACAGCTTTTAATTTACAAATTGTCTTTATGGTCCCCTCCTAGCTACGAGCCAGAGTTATTTCCTGGTCTGATCTACAGGATGATCAAACCCAGGATCGTCCTCCTGATCTTCGTTTCTGGGAAAGTTGTGTTAACAGGTGAGTTGTAACAGGAAGTAGTGTCTGAAGGTTTGAAAGTTTCAAGAATGTCATTGTCTCCATGCTGAGAAATAGTTTCACAGAGTTGAGACCCTTGGTAACAACTTGTAAAAGGCCTTTTCTTTCCCTTCCACCCAAACATGCTGGTGAGAAATGCACCCAGTTGGAGGGAGGGAGAGGAGGGAAATCAGACTCCACCTCTGCTGGTCCTTCATCCCAGGCTTGACCTGTAGGGGAGGGAGAAGTGAGCATCCCACTGGATAAGAGGTGGAGTTTTAAGTGGGAAGTTGTCCCTTAAGCCTTCTAATTCATCGGGGATGTGGTTTTGAGACAACAGAGGGAGATTCCAGGAGCTTGGTGGGAGGCAGCCCTTGGAGGATAAGATTCAGCCATTGTCCCTGCACCTGGGGCCCAGATCTGGTGCAGGGACCAGCACAGTGACATCTACAGAGAGGGAGGTGGAGTCACCTGGGGCGTTGCTTTTGCAGTTAAAAAACCCTTTTAAGGAAATACTGCTTTAAAAAACGAAAACGGCTGTGACAGGGGGCTCTCTCATTAAAGTTTTAATGCCTGCATCTGCTAGTCCAACAGATGGAGAGAATTATGCTAGTGCTTTTGTTAAAGTCATAAGTTTACCTCTTAATAGGTTAAGAAATGCCATTTCAGACTCTCTTTGCTACTCTACTTGTCTTCATAGGTGCTAAAGTCAGAGCAGAAATTTATGAAGCCTTTGAAAACATCTACCCTATCCTCAAGGGCTTCAGGAAGACGACGTAATGGCTGCCCTGCCCTCCCACCCACTTGTTTTAAAAAAACATCAGTTTTGGTAAATTTGAGTGGTGGTGTCGTGGGTGGCCTGGGTCCCCGTGGGTTGCAGCCTGCATGTGCGCCTGGCATGCCCGGGTGTTCCTGTAGTGGCTGCACTGTGCTGCCGTATGTTTAGATTTAGATTTTAAACTCTTAACTGCTGTTGACAAGTTGGTTTAAGGGAGAAAATGTTGGTGTTAAAGCCACCTTCACAATTGACTGGACTTTTAATTTTGTTTGTTTTCTTCCCCATAAACCACAGTTTTTATATTTCTACCAGAAAAGTAATGTTTTTTAAAAGTGTTGTTTTTCTAATTTGTAACTCCTAGGGTTTATTTTTGTGCCAGACACATTCCGCCTTCTCAGTATTGCAGGACAGACAGATGTATTTTGAACACAAATGGCTGTAAATATTTCTCTTCTCAGTGCTCTGTACAATAAATACTGTTTATAAAAGTGTTAGGTTGATGTTATAAATGATGCCTTGTAAGATTTATGTGATCATATGTTTAAAAAGTTGTATTTTAGATACAATGCCTGAAACCACTTCAGCGTGTTTGCTTGTTTGTTTCAGTCAACATTTCATTGAACATTGCAGTGAAATGGAAGAACCACCTGAAAACTTAGGGTTGCCCATCAAACAGGCATGTATCATGTTCCTGTTTCCAGGGATGCTGCCTGTAACTTGCCCTAACCCTGCCTCCCAACACCCAGAACCCTGCCACCCATCCCAGAAGCCCCCTCCTGCTATGCACCAGCCACAGCCCCTACCCCGTAAAATAACCATTATCCTAATAGAGGTCAGTCTATCATTTTTAAAAATTTGCTATGTTTTTGTATCTGTTTTATTCCTTAAGTTTCCACTCCATCTCTTTTCCTTAACATTTCAGGCCATTTGGCCTGTAGCTTCTTCCTGTGTTTTGCTATTTGCAGGCTCTCGGTGTGGTTCTGTGTGTCCCCTCTCAGCTCCTGCAGGTGGGAGTCTGCAGCCAGAGGCTTGATCCCCTGGTCAAGACTGAGTGGGGTGTTCTGTTAGGAACCAGATGTTTGGTTGTCTCTCTTCTCATTGATCTGTTATTAACTTGTTAGGTGGTTGCAAATGACGAGATTCTAATCATTTCATTTTTCTCATAGTCATTGGGACACTTTTATACAGTGATGCACTTCACATAGCAGGATAAACGCTTCTTTCCCTTTAAAAGTTTTCAAGATAAAACACCTTATGAGTTCATACAGATATGCCCAAATCTAGGACTAAAGGGGTTTATTTAACCAATTGTATTATCTTTTACACTAAAAATTCTTAACTTTTAAAAGCACACGGGACAATGGGTTAAAATATCCTGTAATCAGTTATCTCACATTATACACACAACAGTCTTAGAGTAACAGAACATGACCACAAGTATGATTATTGGAAGCATTGCACCGTATTTTTGTTGCTGTGCTTCCTGAGTTGTCAGAGGCTGATGAGACCAGGACCCAGTGCCTGCTGCACAGTGAGTGGGCTGCTCCCTCTCCCACAACACGGGCTGTCTGGTCAGACAGAGTCCGGCCATGCAGAGATCTCGGGTGGAGTGGATGGGTCGGCAGTGTGATGGATGTCCTGCGCAGGAGCAGTTACCGGGTGAGTGTTTGCTTATTTATGGTGATTTTAAATGTTTTGACATTTGTAGAGGCAACTGAGTTGTGTGATGTATTATTTTGTATTAATTATTTTTCAATATAGTTGCTATTTTTAAAAAGGCTACATCTCAGTTTATTATAGGAGATGCTTAGGATCACTCCCAGGCTGTTGGAGGGAGGGCTATTCCAGCTTGTGAGGGACACTTGCCACCTGCAGAGACTTGTAGATACAGAGGATAGACTGACAACGCTCTGAGGGGAGGGAGGTGGGGACCTGGGTGAAAAAGGTGAAGGGATTAAGCAAATCAAATAAACAAAAAACCTCTTAGATACAGACAACAGCATGGTGCTGACCAGAGGAAAAGGGGGATGGGGGAGGTAGAAAAGGGTCTAGGATAAATGGCGGTGGAAGGAGACTTGACTTGGGGTGGTGAACACAATATAATATACAGATGATGTATTGTGGAATTGTACAGCTGATACCTATATGATTTTATTAACCAATGTTACTCCAATAAATACAAATTTAATGAAGTCACCTGCAGAGAATGGGGTGTGCCTTTCCCTCCAGCAGTATTAACCCCCTTATCAGATACACGATTTGCAAATATTTTTCCTATTCCACAAGTTGTCTTTTTTCCTTAAATATATCTTTATTGATCTCAGAGAGAGGAAAGGAGAGAGAGAGAGAGATAGAAACATCAATGATGAGAGAGTCATTGATCAGCTTCCTCCTGCACGCCCCCGACTGGGGATCAAGCCCGCAACCCGGGCATGTGCCCTGACCGAGATTTGAACTTCGATCGCCTGGATCCTAAGTCAACGCTCAACCTCTGAGCCACGCCTGGCTGGGCCACAAGTTGTCTTCTCACTTGGTTGTCGGTTTTTTGTTTTTGTTTTGTGGGGTTTTGGGGTTTTTTTTGCTGTGCAGAAGCTTTTTAGTTTGATGTAGTCCCAATTTTTTATTTTGTTGCTTGTGCTTTAGGGGTCATGTCCAAGAATTCATTACCAACAACCATTGCAAGGAGCTTTATTCCTGTTTTCTTCTAGGAGTTACATGGTTTCAGGTGTTACATTTAAGTCTTTTTTAAAATATATGTTTTTATTAAATTTCGAGAGAGAGGAAGAGAGAGAAACATCAGTCGGCAGCCTCCCACACACACCCCACCAGGGATCGAGCCTGCAACCTGGGCATGTGCCCTGACCCGGAATTGAACCAATGATCTTTCAGTGCATGGGACAATGCTCAACCAACTGAGCCACACTGGCCAGGGCACATTTAAGACTTTAATCCATTTTTAATTTTTGTGTGCAGTATAAGATGTGGGTCCAGTTTTAGTCTTTTATATGTGAATATCCAATTGTCCCAGCACCCTATTGAAAAGACTGCCTTTTCTCCATTGAGTATTCTTGGAGCCTTTGTCAAGTACTAGTTGGCCATATGTGTGTGGGTTTATTTCTGGGCTCTCAATTCTGTTCCATTGGTCTGTGTGTCTGTTTTCATGCCAGTATAATGCTATTTTGACGACTATTGCTTTATAGTGTAGCTTGAAATCTGGAAGTGTGATGCCTCCTCCTTTGTTGTTCTTTCTTAGGGTCTTTTGTGGGCTCATAAATTTGAGGAGTGTTTTTTCTCCTGTAAGAATTGCCATTAGTATTTTGATAGAGATTGCATTGAATCTACAGATGGCTTTGGCAGTAACGCTTTAACAATATTAATTCTCATCTATGAAGACAAAATACTTTTCCATTTATTTGTCTTCAATTTCTTTCCTCAGTGTCTTATAGTTTTCAGAGTAGAGTTCTTTAACTTCAGTTACATTTATTCCTAAGTATTTTTCTGTTTTTGATGCTATTATAAATGGGACCAGTTTATTTCCTTTTCAGAAAATTTGTTAGTTGCTGTTTTTTTAACATGGGTCCCAAGTTGGTGCTGTGACATTTTATTTCTGATGACTTGTACTAGTCTTTCTCCCTGTAGAAAGGCCCTCACCATCATTTCCAGAGCTTGGTGGGGATACACATCTAAAGGGCAGCTTGGCTGGTTACTACCAACGTGCCTGCAAGAATGTCCACATCTTCTGGTGATGTGTTCCAATAAACAGACCATAAGGATTTGCCTGAAAAGTCCTTAGCAGTCAGGATGCTGTTCTACTTTGGAAAACCTACTGTAACATATACTGACGATAACAATTATTCTAATTTGGGATGTGAGGCCCCACTAGTCCTATTTTCCATAAGCCACTGAGCTTCCTAGCAAGTGTGACTATTATTTACTTATTTTAACCTCTTTTAAAAATGTTTTTATTGATTTTTTTAATAGAGGGAGAGAGGGAGAGATAGAAACATGAATCTGCTGCCTCCTGCACACCCAGTACTGGGGATGGAGCCAGCAACCTGGGCATGTGCCCTGACTGGGAATCGAACCAGTGACCTCTTGTTGCACAGGCGACACTTAATCCACTGAGCCACATGGGCCAGGCCATGAGGACTTTTAATGTGTGCTCTGGTAGCCATGGGCTATCACCAGTTATGGTTGATTCTCAGACTTAACACTACCCCCAGCTGCAAGACTAACACCATTCTCTCCCTCTTTCAAAGTTGTATTGAACAGATTCCCCCCATGGGAAGTCTGTACTGCAGTTTCCCATGAAAACTGCTTTATATGTACATCTTTATGAATTACACATACATATGCACATACACACACATGGACTAATAGGCCACTACTTTCCAATACAAATACAGTGAAATAGCCAAGAAGTCAGTGACATTAGCAAGTGATGTTACCTCCAAAAAGACTTATGGTGGCAGTGCGTTTCCAGGTTAGCAGGGAGGTGTGTGAGAACACGACCATGTAGATTACAGTAACCGGGAAACAGTTCTCGGAATTTGCTGTCGGTCTGCAAGCACTGGTCACCAGCAGTCTCTCCAGCTCTGCCTTAGTGCTGAGTGGGCATCACTGGGGTAGAGAACTGGAAATTATCACAAGGTAATTGTAAACTGCTAGGTGCCGGCAGGAGCCTTAGAATGGTTAACAGCATAGATTTAGGAGCTACTTGTGTAAACAGATGCACCTGAAAGCTGATCTCCTGGGCTCAGTAATGGGACCATCCTGTGGCTGACCCAGGGACATTTTGACGGGGATTCCTGCACCCTTCCTCTGGCTTTCTTTTGTGTGCGTTGGTTTGAGATGTGAAGGGAAGACCAGTGCCCTCACCTGTCAGTCTCGTCTGTAAGCACCACCACTGACTAACCAAGGTTGAACTAGAGCTTTTTGCAGGTTGTCTGGCCACAAACCTTTTTCCTTACCTGTTAACTCTGCTGCTGCTGCTTGAGAACAGTCGGGCACCCTTCATTGTGCTCACCTGCCTAGTGGGGTTGGTATTTTTCTCATGCTCTGGATTTCCATGTATACTAGAGCCTGTGCCAATCACCTGATTACCAGACAAGTCTTCTGGGGTTTTACCCAAATATTTTTCTTTTACCGTAAGTTTTAGGGGGGAAATCGATCTGAGTGATGTTTTGAATTAGGCACATAACCATTTTTATTGAAGAAATACATACAGGTAAAAAGATTATTTCACTTAGTCCACCATTTAACCAGTTCACACCTAGTATGTCATTCCAGATTTATTTCCATGCACATACACATGTACAAATATTTTTAAAAATATACACTCATACTAGGAATGCCATCTATAATGGTATCTTTGTGTCAGTTCAGATCTGTACCTCATTTGGTGCATACAGGTCTGTCATTAAAAGTGCACCACCTTCCACTGGACAGACACACCAGAAATGATGTAATTCTCTGTTGCTGGACATTTTTGTTTTGCTAATATTTGGAAATTGTAAATAATGCCTAAAATATCTTTGTGCCCCTCTCTGGTATGATTCTTTCCTTAGGATAAAGTACTAAAAACTGGAATGGCAAGGTCCAAGAGATCATGAGCATTTTTAAGGCTTTTCAGGGCCTTTTTCTTTTTTTTCAAATAATAGTTTATTGATTTTGAGAGAGAGGGAAGGGAGAGAAACATCAATGGTGACAGAGTCATTGATTGGCTGCCTCCTGCACACTCCCTACTGGGGATGGAGCCTGGAACCTGGGCATGTGCCCTGACCAGGAATCAAATTGGCAACTTCCTGGTACACCAGACACCCAACTGAGCCACGCTGGCCAGGGCTCGAGGTTGTCTTTAAGGTGTATCTGTTACATCTTGCTTCCAAACAAATTCCTCTGTGTAGCCAGTACCCAGGCTGCAGCTCTCAGCACAGGTGAAGACAGCCAGGATGCCCCAGTCAACACTCCTGCCCAGTCTGTCAGCCTTTAGGTAGTTAAGCAGCTGAGGCATAACCTGAGGAGAGGACGACACAGTCAGAGATCTGCTTCAAGTGAGGAGCACTGTATGCTTTCAACAGACCTTCCCTGCCAGGGTGATTAGAGGGATCCTGAGCTTTCCGTGTCCACACTACACAGGATTATAAACATTATGCAATGAATGATAATGTAAAAATATCTTGCAGCTCTGTCCTCAGAACCCCTCTCTACTTCACTTGGTGCCTTTCCTTTCCATTTGAGAAAAAAGTTCCCAAGTATAAGAGACTGGCCAATACATTTGGCTTGGCTGGTGACCTAATTAATTTTATTAATAATGTGCCACAAAACAGGACTGAAGCTTCTATCTGGGCAACTTTTACTTTTCGTCATGTGAACAGCAGATGCTGTTACTATGACTTTGAAGAAACACGAGTAGTAATAAATACAAAAAGGAAATCTACTGATGTCTTTGTGTAGAAGGGGATCCCAGGAGTCCGATGGAAAAGAGTGAAGATCTGCCTCCGATATGAAACTGCTTCACATACACCAGCAGCTCATCTCGGTGTTGGGATTAAGAACCAACCAGTGTTGGATGCAGTCCTCACAATCCTCTTTCCACCCTAAGGAACAGGTATTCCCTATCACCCTGTAAGGTCAGTGAATCCACAGGTAAAGAGGATTTCCACCCAACCCCAAATGATTTTGATGCTAACAATGCTTTTGAAAAATATTTTTCTTAATGATTACATCCATTTCTTTTCCTAATAACTCCACAAACCAAGACTAAACAGAGTAAGTTCTAAAACACTCCTCTTACAAAGTAGAGAGTCAGACCCTGATTAATTGGACAAAGCATAGTATTTAAAATTACAAAGGTAACAACAAAGGCACTGAAAGTAATGCAGTAACTACACTGGGAGGTTGGGATGGTCCAGATGGTAAAGGTGAACACTAAACCCTCACTGTAGTAGAAGTCAACAGATGTCTGAAAACTAGTTAAATGACAAATACCAGAAAAATCATGTTATTTAGAGAAGGAAATAACTTCCAGATAAAGCAGTAAGGGACACTTTTAGGCCCTTTCTTGGGGCAGAAAAGTTCTGATATTCACGATGCAGAGGGCAACTTCTTCAATACCACACAGACCCTGTGCATATGTTACTTTGACAAAGTTTTATAATGTTTAAAAACATAAAGCAGGGGAATTCCATAGTAAAATAGTCCCTATTTAAGGTCATACCTGGAATTCAAATATTCTCTTGGCACCACAGGGACAGTCTGGAATATCCTCCTCTTGGGGGATGTTTTCACCAGAGATCCAAATGGGGGCAAGCCCTCTGCCATACCTGAGAATCTAAAAACAATTAGGATCATTTTCCAATCACCCACATCTCACCTAAGAGTTCCATTTGCTCCTACACTTGATGGAACTTTCTGAAAGGAGTTTACTGCCACACCCCCACACCCCCACCCCTGGCACATTCTCAAAGTTATGTCTTCTCAGTGTTATCAAAGCAATTATTTCAGCTTCTCTAACTCAGGGTATCAAAATTACATTTCTTAGATAACATGGTTAGAACCTGAATCTTGTGAATATTTTGTGAAGGGAATAACAAAACCCCTATTTCCCCATTCTGAATCCAAAATGCAACTTTCTGTGCTTACCTTCACACAGGTCTAAGGAACCTTAAACATTTTTTTTAAATGTTTTTATTGATTTCAGAGAGAGGAAGCGAGAGAAACATCAAGCCTTAAATATTTGAAAAGGGACAAATACCAGGTGAAACATGGTGTTTAGGTAAATACTACATATAGAAGTAAGTTTCATAATATATAACTGAGTGGTTTTCCTGTTTTGTTAAAGGCATACACAGTGCTGAAAACCACCCTGTCAGTGTGTCAGACCTAGACTGGCTCTTCCTGTGAGCCCTTGGATATTGATTTGATCCAGTGACCCTTTTATGGAAATTTGGCCGAGTTTTCTCTTGTGACTGCCGTTCACAATGAGGAGTGAAGGGGAAGAGCAGAGATGAGCAAGGGAAATGTGCTGAGCAATCACCCTATTTTTTTTACACTGTGGTTGTGATTACATCAGAAGCTCATGATGTAGCTCCAGGATTCGTTTTACAAAACTAGTGTCTTTGTGTTAACATGACATGTTGGTTTTACAAGCCAAAGTCCAGCAGAAAATGGGGGGAAATTTCTTTCTGTTATCATTGCCTGAACTCCATGTATCACAGGCAGCATATCATTCATCCCCATTCTGGACACTTTCTTTAGAAAATTTATCGTATATGATAACCAGCCTAACTTGTTCTTCCAATAAGTGTTAGAAAATTTTTAAAAAAAATATTTTTATTGACTTCACAGAGAGGAAAGGAGAGGG